TTACGTATAATATGGGCGCCAATAAGCCGTTTATATACCAAACCATACCCGGAGAGCCGCTACCCGACGAACCATAATATCCTTTTAAACCCCCGGCGTCGCCGATTCGGGCGTAAAATGTGGTCAGTGTTCGGTTCAGTAGTCGGAGGGGTCCCCAGGGTTTGGCTTTTGGTTGAATGATTCCCACGGAGTCTTTCAATGAAGTGAAATGAAAACAATTATTCTCAGCCTTTCGGCCAAATTCTAGCCTAACGTCTCCTTTCGGGTAAATGTAATGAATGTTTGGTTCGCGTAATGAATTGAGTTTCCCGATCGCCCACACAATGTATTGTCCATTCTTTTCATATACCAGATCCCCCTCATCTCCTGTCGTCACAAACAATACAATTCAATATAAAGTTTTATCGCGTTTTTATTCACAATTAATTAAATACCGGTATTAATTATGTTTCGACGAAAAGTGATTTTTGTCAACGAATCCACTCTTTCGAAGAGATGTATTTGATAGTTGTCTACTCCTCCAACCCGACTGTCCAAACAGACACCTCTATAATTGCCAAATATATTTGTGCACTAAATTCAAAGCAAAATACATTTACTTTTAAATGTCTAAAATTTGTGTTTAATTTTAGGCGAAAACTTACCGGAAATTTGCCGCTAATATTGTAGTCATTAGTATATCCCAAATGGCCATCGAGATAAGAGACGGCCACATCTGATCCAATCATTTGAGACGAGTTCTTAGAGCCACTTAATCCAAAAGCGATGTAATCTTTCGGTTCAATTTGTGCCACCATTTGGAAAGTGATTTGCGGCCCAAATATTTCCCAATTTATTTGTAATTTTTGATGCAATTGTTCGCAATTAGGAAGACGTGACTCGTGTTTCTAAATTAGATCAAACAATAATTAAAATCTAAAATTGATAATCATTTTTAGATTACAATGATTTTGGTGAGAGAGGGAGGAATGTTTAGTTCGTCTGGAATTAAAACGGATCCGAAGTTCTCTTTGGTCTCGTCGTCCCAAATGGCCAGAAAGTCGATGTCAAAGATAGTCATCTCTCCCGGAAGTTCTAATACAATTGTCTCTTCATTATAAGCGCCAATCGGATCGATACTAATGGCAAAACATTTGTAAATTAATATGTTTTGCCTCATAAAGTGTGGTATAAATGTTGTATCGCTTACTATCCCCTCTCATTTGGGATCTTCTTTCCGGCTGAGTTCGGCTGTGGACCCGTTCCCACCCAAAAGTATGCACTTTTACTCAACCCGTCATAAGTGAGATCCGGTATT